GGCGGCATTCTCAGCGATGGCGACACCCGAGAAACACCGTGTCACGGTGCATTCGTGCATCAGTACACGAAGAAATACATACACTGTCCACTGCTGACGCGACAAATTCCTTAGAAATCATTTGATTTGATTTATGGATGGCGAGCACCGACACTCAGATCCGATGAACTAATCACGTGGAACTAATCAAAACTAAAATGGCGCGTGTCACGTGACTTTGTTTACTAAAGATAGCGTGGGCGTTTGATTGACACTCAACTCATTAGTATTCCACCAATCACAGCTACATCTACTTTCTGGATGTGCGCAGTCAAATTGTATAGGAGACAAGCTGGAGTCTCGTGTGGCGATAGCGATAACACCGGGACGAATGGTCTGGGGTAAAATAACAGTAGAACTCATTGTTTCCCTGCTAAATTCATGAGTAAAATTGCTCAAAAAAATCAAAATAGTGAGATTACATGCCAATGAAAATAAATGGTTTTACAGTATCATAGTCATGTGTGGCTTGAAGTAAAATTATTTCAGTTATATTTTATTTTGAATAATTCCTTCGCAATAGTTCTGTAGGCTTCTGTAGAATCACAATCACATCTCTGGTTGAACACGAACTACGCGGAAATGCAATCCAGTATGATAAAATAAGACAGAGCAAAAGATACAGCAAGGTATGTTTTATTAGTCACGGTGTACTGCCTTGAAATAAAATAACTGATTACTGAATTAATCATATATTTATTAGATTAGCTGTTATCAGTATAATTAACCCTGTGAGCACCATAAGTTTTTCCGCCAAAATATTGGCCTATCATTTTGCACATTTCTATGTATTTTTTGCATATTTCTATATATATTTTTTCTTTTTTACTCATTTTGGATCAAATAGATATACTTTTCCCATTTGCTATTTGTTGACAAAAAGCTACGCATTTTTTGTGTGTGAAAGATAACAACTTTGGAGATCAAAGGGTTATTATACAGGGTAGTCACAGGACTGTGTAACTATGGTAACTACTATAAACCACTTATGTTTGCGGCAAGGAATTTATACGATTCAAGGATTTCATGGCATTTGTGAAAGTAGCTGACACGTACATATCGAAGAATCCCAGAAACATTTTTCACTTGAACAAAATTTCTTGATTTTTGCTGATTCTCAAAAATGTACTCAGCATAACCTGTAAATATTTCTTTAGTGAATTTTGTTTTCTAATATTAATTCAAATTTCAGTCCATGAGCTGCATTTTTGTTCATTCATTTCATATTTTTTGATCAACGTGTTATCAAACAACACATATGGGATAAAAAATTAGGAAGTTCACACGTCATGTAAACATTTAATATGTTACGCAACTTATCACCATGTTTTTACTAAAATACAAAACATGAGAAAAAAAATGAAGCTCATTCCGCTTTAACACATTAACAAATTTTGGAGATACATTCCTCATCTTATTGACAATATTGACAAAAAGATTTCCATAAACCATAACATTTACAAACCAGAAATGTACACAGGATCAATACGACAACACTCGGGGCCTGAGCCAGTAAAATTTTCACTGCTACAAAATGTCATGAGTGACTCGCAAAATTAAAGCGGTTTACAGTATAATGAAGTGACAGTACACCTTAAATAGTACCCTGTTCATACCTATAAATACAATAAATGCAACAATTCCTCATGTTTCCCATGGTATAAGTACTACACAAGAGGAAAATAGAGGTTGTTCATATTATTTTTTCCCACTAACAAAACAAACGCCAACTGTACAAGTGATTATTTCAAGCAAGTCATGATATACGCAGACATACTTATGCAAACATGTGAGACAAGCAACGAAGATGTTTTTGCGCAAAACCCCCAAAAAGCAGGATAGAACTTGAAGATGAGTGAGATTCTCTTGGTTCATAACAGTGCATTTGAATTTGTTGAATGTTATTTCCCAAATCCACCATTTCTGACATCGTGTTTGGTTAACTTTGTAAATGATTCAAGCCATGCTGAGAGTAGAGTTACTACAACCGTGTGAAAATGAAAACTGTTACATGTACGTTCAAAATTGAGTTAAAAATGAACAACACTACATGTATTTATGAAATATTCACGACTATAACCGCAAGGTGAAATGATATGTTAACCATGCAAATTTATGCAAATCTTTAAATATGTAAATATTATGCAAATCGTGCAACTTTACATACAAGTCATTTGCATATGCATGCATCATTAAAAAAACAAGCAATATCAGGCAACATCAACTTACATGCATAACATGCGATGGATTTTTGTCAACATCCACAGGCAAATCAGGCAAGGGTCTAGTCTTCATTACCTCCTCTGTACTCTTCTGCCTGGCATACTTCTGTTGTTGTTCCTTCTTGCGTCTCTCTTTATCACCATATGCCAGAGTTGCTACTTCCTCGCGAGAATCAGTACCTGATTCACTGGCGTCCCCAGAGCTTCTTCTCTTGCACCGAGCTTCACCAATTGGTCGACGAGTACGCCGTGTACTTCGCTGTAAATGCTTCAAAGTTGTTTCACTAAGAGCAACTTCCAATTTGTCATCATCTTGCTCTAGATTGTCTGCTGTATTAAGTCTAGTTGGCAAACTGATCTTCCTAGGTGACAAAACTGGTGGCGCTGGTTCTTTATCAGGAGGTTTTTGTTCATTATTCGTATCTATGGTAAACAAATCTTTCAAATTTGAGATAGCTTGTTTCTTTGGAGAATGACTCTCCATTTTAACGCTCAAAGGTTGCGACTTGTTCTCAAACCTTTTTATGATATCTCTAGCAGACCTACGACTTGCATCATCTCTATCAAGGTCTTCCTCTGAACTGCTTGCTTTACGCTGGCTTGAAGCAGCCTCCGGTTTTTCATAAATCTGGGCATAGAAGTTGCCAACAACAGAAGAAGCATTTTTGTTTCTACCGACAGAAGTACGGCATGTAGTTGAGCTTACTGGGTCCCTCCTTTCTTCTGTTGTTGTCGCCACAGCATAGAAACTGTTGCTAGGAGATGTAGGTGAAAGTGCGGGCTCAGTCGAGACGGGCTGCGAGAGATCAATGGTGTCCTCACCAGACGTGTCGTGTAGTAAATCCGCATACTGTAAATCACACTCACTTTTAGTTGGTGATGTAATGCTACTTTGTCGAGAAACACTAAAAACGCTATTTGCAGTCGGTGAACTAACACCACTTAAGGATGAACCCCATGAATTTGGGGCATACGATGGACTAACTGCATCAGTGTGAGAGCTACTCCTTATGTATGGAGCATGTGAAGGGCTCACTGTACCACTCTGCGATGAACTCCATGAGTTTGGAGCATGTGATGGGCTAACTGAGCCCCGCTGAGAAACACTCCGTATCACGGGGATTCCTTTTGATGGACTGACCACTCTACTCTGTGACGACGGAGCTTTAGAAGATTTCTTAACATTTACGCTACTCCCTACCAAGGCTTCATAGGCTTCTAGTCCTCTATCACTAATGGCGTCCTTTTTTGATAAAGATCTCTGAAAAACTGGAGTTTCATTCAAATTGTCATCACTAATATCACAACTGGATTGTCTCTCTTTAGTCTCAAATGACTCTGCAAGTCCTGACGTACTCTCTGCTGGTTTTGGCACACTCTCTACAGGCAATGACTCTGCATGTCCTGACGTACTCTCCATCAACTGCAGGTAATCCCTGTCGGTTGACTCTGTATCCGAGTCTCGCTTCCGAAACTTGTCAAATTCAAGACTTGATGTGACATCTTTAGCTACTGCTGAATCAACAATAACATCTGTCTTCAGTGAAGTAGAAGTCGAAATTGAGGAAGCGCGTTCTATGATATCACCTGTTTTATTCCGTTCATCTTTACCGGGAAGAGAAACAATCTCAACTTCCGGGGATGACAGTGGACTTTCCTTTAATTGTTTAATGTAATTTTTCTTTGGTCGTTCAGTTCGGAATGATCTTTTCGGTTTCTTAATAGGGTTAACCACATGTTTAGGAATCACTTCAGGTGACAATGATTTAGATAGCACTGATGTTTCTACAGTTTTTTGGGGGTTATTACTTTTTGGTGGACTGTCCAATTTGAATGAACTTTCTCTCTTTGGTGGACTTCCTGATGATGGAAAGTTGAATTTACTGTCCTTTCGTGGGCTTTCTGTTGATGGAGAGTTGAATTTACTGTCCTTTGGCGGGCTTCCTGTTGATGAAGAACCGAAGTTACTGTCCAATGTGGATTTGCTGAAATCCCAAGCGCTAAGAACATCATCCAACAAAGATGGACCAAGATCAAAGTGCTGAAAATGTAAAATGAAAAAGTTAAAAAAGATTTAAAGATGGGTTGCAATCATGTGTTGGAATGGTGAAGGAAAGGTTGAATGTTGGGTTGCAATGTTAGTGGTTAAAGAAGGGTTGAAAAATGGGTTGAAATGGTGGTGGAAGGATTGAAAGATGGGTTGTAATCATTACATTATGGTAGTTGGAGGTTTGGAGAATGGGTGGCAGTGATAGGATTGGTTTGCAGTGGTCATGAAAAGGTTAAATTGAAGTGATGGGTTGAATGGTTGTGGAAGAGTTAATGGGTGTGGTGGGTTTGAGTAAGGTTGTAAAGGTTGAAGGTGAAACTGCAATAAAAGAAATAAAATATGGATTGCAATGTTGATGATGGAAGAGTTGAATGATGGGTTGCAAGATTGGTGGAAGGGTTGAAAGGTAGGTTGCAATATTGGTGATGAAAGGATGGTTTGCAATAAGTGCCAAGGTTGAAGAAAGAGTTACAATAATCATGGTGGTGTTGAAGGATGGGCTGTAATGTTGGTGGTGGAAGAAATGAACGGTGGGTTACAATAGTGGTGGAAGGATTGAAAGATGGATTACAATATTAGTGGAA